CATTTCATTTCATTTCATTACATTACATTACATTCATCTACCACAGACCCATCTTAAGCGTAACTAATTCTAGTTAAATAAGCAAAGTCTTAATCAAACTTTACTCAATTGTAAAGCGGGTATAAAGGAAATATTTAGAATAAAGCCAATATATAAACTTCCTTTCCGTATAGACGTATTTACGCCAAATTCTCCGGAACCGTGGTTCCACTATCACTTTTTTCACGTGGCCGACATAGAACGTTTTTGATAGCGTTTATCCAATGCCTGTGGTTGTGTTTCTGTTTTCCTGGGCATTTGCGTAATTCACTAGTTTAAGTAGAACAAATCGATGTAATTCAGGTCGTAACGTTTAATTGTAGAGTCTAGATTTTTCTCCCACATAATCCTTCAAGCGGCACGAACCAATAGAGCTTACCGAGGATGGTAATGGTTGGAATTTTATAGCTTACTCCGATAAATCTGAAAGTTTAAACTTCACGTTTTTTGTTGATTCCAAGGTGTTCAATGAATGTGTGCGCTGCGGAAATAGGAGACGTCGCACATTGAACACATGCATACAGTTAGCTGGAAGAGTAAAATGGGTGAGAATGCTTGATAAATCTAGGCGTAGATAGGTTTATATTATTAAAATGGGACTGAAATATGGTGTGAGGCTTTGGACTGGATTTATCTAGCTGAAAGTGGGTTACGGTGGCTGGCTGCCGGGAGCACGCTAATCTTCAGATTTAATTAATTTTTCTCGGGCCGTGAAAGCTTCAGATCATAAACATTTAGGTTCCATAAATGTTGATCAAGTGAGTGAACATGGTCGAAGAAGTATTTTCGTTAGGATTTAGGTTTTCATGGCGGCGCGTATGGCGATGACTGTTTTGGGATTTTGCGTCATGTACTCTTTTAATGTTCACCAACGTTTCAAAGGTGCTTACTGTCTTCATCATCAGTGTTTTGTATGTACGACCAAATTATTGTCATTTCATAGGTATCCACCTTTTTAAAGCTGAAGTTGTGAATGTTGAGCCACTAGAGCTTTGTTACAGTTAAGTTGCAAAATGCAATTGCCATATGTCTGCACATCGGGCGTGATGATTTCGGATGTATTTTGGTAAGTATGTGAGATGTTACGTTTTATAACTGGCATGTTACTTTTTGTGTGTTCTTTCTTGTTATGGTCACGGCTTCGTATGATTGCCTTTTGTTTGTGTGTCTTTATACTTATCTGTTAGATCGACGTATCTTATTTTATTATGTTACATGTTTACTATTTGTGACCTAAATAATTAGAATGAACGAGAAGAAGGCGACAACTGGTGGGTAACAGATTAGCTACTGATGCTCACATTACTTTTTAAAATGCGTTTTTTGCCTGTGGTTTATGATGTGGTCAATGCGCCCCCCCCCCAAACGTTGATGGCAAACATTCACGATAACAAAATATTTATTGCTAAAATCGTACCTTTTCTGTATTAATTCGTTGTATTAAATTTGCTTTGTTTATTGGCAGGGTTTTATTGAAGCGGATAGAATTTCCAGTGAGGTAGAAGTTTACAGAAACGATCCGTTACTTGGATACCGGTCCCAATTAAGTAACGGAAGTAACGAAGATACCTGTGTTCCTCACTCCTGACAGACATCGCTTTTCATTTACTTGATTGAGTTGGCATCAAGATAATGGCGGTAGTTAACATGACTTCCGCGTAGCAAGATTCTGCAGGTGAATTAACAGTGATTGACTACTGAATTTCTCACTGCTTTGAAATATGTCTTTAAATTTATTTCCTGCTTTATTGCAGCTTTCGTAATACCGTAATGAATTATGTGATTAAATAAATGGCCATGCAACGTAGATTTAATGGTTTTAGGGTAATGTTTACGTTTATAATACTATCATTTATCATGGTACTCATAATCGCTGTCATCCTCATTGTTGTTATCGGTTCTTTGTTATTGCATCTCACTATCTATATAAAGTGGGAACGGAATGAAGACCACGTAAATATAGTATGAAGATCGTTTTGATTGCGGGGAAATCTATAATGCTTTGTTGTTACTGCTGATGTGTTTAGGCTTGTATCGGATATCCACGAGGAGCCGGGATAGCTCAGTCAGTATAGTGACTAGCTAACGTCTGGGGTTCGATCCCCGACGTGGCCAGAGGATTTTTCCTCTAGCCTCTGCTTCCAGACCGGCTCTGGGGCCCACCCAGCCTCCTATTCAGTGTGTACCGGGGTCCTTTTCCGGGGGTAAAGCCGGCCGGGGCGTGATGTTGACCACTCACCCTCATCTAGTGCCGAGGTCAAGAAATAGTAGGAGCTAGACCTCCACTCCCCCCAAACGACCTTCGTGGCGTGTACGGGACGGCTTTACTTTTTAATCAGATATCCAAGCACCGTAGGTGATAATATTAAGATTTTAGTGAAGTCCATTGTGGGGATGTGAATTGGCTCATCCATGTGCCAAACGTTGACAGACATTAATATATTCGGGTTTTGTAACAGAGGAAATTTCTTCAGAAGTTCCACTGGTTCAGATATTACGGCTGTAGGCCTAGAGACGAACGCACAAGAATCTTGACATGCAGGTTTGCCAACAGACAGTTAAGGATAATGATGATATTGTGTATGTTATTATTGTCCCTTTTGTCTTGATACTTGATAGTTATAGTAAAGTTCAAAAGCAATTAGAGTACTGATTGACTAGGCAGTGATTTGTAATGTGATGCCATGCGCGTTTCTTAGATAATAGGGTCAAGTATTGACACTTTTGAGCGCTATAATTAATGTTTTGATCGCATAAAAGGCAGTATTTTTGATTAGCTGAACAACTGCTAGCTTCTCATGCACTCGATCTCCTGAAGGTAGTAATTGAGTGTGTTATAAAATTGTGTCTGTGAAATTATGTTCAACGTAACTGGATGATATTGCAGGTTCTCACTGCAGCACGTTGTTGGTCTGGTTGAAGTTTACTGACGTTTCAGAGGTGCCTCCATCATCAGGGCGATCACCCTGATGATAGAGGTAGCAAGGACCTCTGAAACGTCGATAAACTTCTACCAGACTATACGGCGTAAGAACCCAGAAGACAGCTATTTTCTCTTTATTGTCATTGTTATCCGCGTTAAATGAAGTCCAGTGCTCTCATTCCTGTAAAATTCCTGTCCCCTTCCTAATTTTCATATCATCCGTGTAGGCCTACTTTTTAAATAAGATGGGAAGCCTGTTATGTGTCATGAAAGAGAAGAAATTGCAATCTGACGTATATAGGTCAGTCTGTTATTAAGTTTACATCACATGCTTTTATTGTCTTACATTAGATAGGGTTGTGTTTGTAGTCCACGTCATTTGCATCACCAAGGAATTAGCTGAAAGTTGTTGACACCCCACGAAGGCGGACGACCTAATTTGCTCGCCCCACTCATACTTGTATCGCTGAAGTCATGGTCTGGTTCATGAATGCCTGGAAATTAAAGGTAATGAAACCGTTCGGACTTGGCAACGAGCCTCTCTAATAAAAATCAACTTGCGAGGTCTGACAGTTACGTAACCGGTGTATTTGTGCAACAAATTTCAAATGATGTGTCTTTGATCACGTGAAAACGATGAGGCTCTTGTGTATCAACAATCGCTGGAATTTAATTTGTTTTATAGTTGCAAGAAATGTTTTTTTGTTTAAGAAAAGCACAAAAAATATTTACTTAGAATTCTCAGCAAGATTGTTGGAAACAAAAACACCTTTGGAAGAATTAGTGATTAGTGATGAGACTTGGTTGCTACGGTATGACCCAGAAACAAATCAAATTAAGTCTCGAATTTCCGACACCAGTAAGATGCTCCTTCATCAAACGTTTTTCCATTACCAACTTAGCCAAGAAAGTACTATCGAATAGAACCATGTTATCTTCAGTATTTGTGGATGTACAGGGCTAGTCTAAATGATGTTCCCAATTTGAAAGACAAGCTACTCACGTTTAATGAAATTCAGATGCACAAAATTGGCACCGATGGAAAGAGAAACTCTCCAAGTTTGTTTCAGTACACCACAGGTGTTCAATGTGAGCCCCCTTGGTAACTCGGCACACATCCAGCCTCTAGTCGTGTGAACTTGCACGGACCCGCTCCACTGTTTCCTCGCTTACTGACGGGCGGCCGGTTGACTTTCTCTTACAGATGCAGCCCCTTTTCTTAAATTCGGAATATCACTTACGAATTGTATGCCCACTGAGTGGATCTGCCGCAAACTTTGTTCGGAAATGCCGTTGCACACTAATAACAGACCAGTGAACGTGGAAATCCAGGACACAAAGGCTCCCCTGTCTTCAATGGCAGCCATTTCCTCTCACATCGCCCCTGGCGGCGAACAGTGTTACTACGCGGCCTCGAAGTATACCAACATAAACTTGGAGAGTTTCACTTTCCATCGGTACCAATTTTGTGCATCTGAATTTCATTATACGTGAGTAAGATGTGTTTCAAATCGGGAACATCATTTAGACTAGCCCTGTATATTCGTCGAAGAAGGCTAACATTTTGGCCGCGGAAATGTATATTGCATCGTAATGATACGTCACTCCTTTAATCACTTTAAGTAGCACTTTGAAATCAGAGCCTGATTTGGTCACTTGAAACTTTTAATTTTTCCAGAAATAAAGATGTCCATGAATAAATATACGACTTAACCGTATTGATTGTAATTAAGTTTCCTTGTAGAATCAGTACGGTTATTTAATTGTCATACCTCGTTTGATTCTTAATAAAATTAAACGTGTTCGTAATACAAGTTAGGACATGTTTTCTGCTGTTGTAGTTTATATGTTATTTAAGTGATCTGCTTAGTATCAGAAGTTATTTCGCTGTAAGGACGACTGTGTAAGAAGCAGGCCAAAGACCTGTGCTTCCAATTACGACTGATTGCTTGCTTCTCCGAGAGTTTAACAGCATTATTCTAAATACAATTAGCGTTGAGCCAAAATGCTCGGTACGTTTTATGTCACTTCTTGCCTTATATGGGATCAAATACTTCATTGTTTACTCGGCGATTGGTGAACCAGTTCAATCCAGTAAACTTCCTCGCATCCATTTTAATATTATTTCGTCTACCTAGCATTCAAGAAGTATCCGGTTCGAATCTGGATCTGTGACTGGCTATTCTAATTTTGTTTTACTTTGTTAACGCCAGGCCTGTGACGGAAATATACGTTCTCCATTCGTAAAGCCTACAGATTTTTTTTTCGTTAGGGTTGCGTTTTAAGTGAAACACACTGTATAATTGCTGCTGTTTCTTGGCTCTACAACCCAATTTCGAGTTTTCGCCGCCTCCTTTTCGGAGGTTTTTCTTTGTCTTTGAAATGTGCACTTGTGAGTATTGAGTGACTGTGACAATTTCTACTCAATCCTGATTTGACTGTCAGAGCCATCTAACAGTGAATCAGGAGACTTGGGTGAGAAATTTTCTTACGAAACATCTCGTTTATGCTCGTAAATCTACTTCCTATCCGGATTTTTATCACCCTTTAAAATCCATCGACCTCGGCCGAGTTTGAACCCGCGAACCTTGGGTCCAGTGGCGAGCACGCTAACCACTAGTCCACCGAGGGCGACACTCTGTATAATTACAACTACGTTATATTTATATATGATGTATTACAGATGAAAGTTAAATATGAAGGAAATTGCCTCTACCTCAGAGGCGGTGTTAACAGCATCGAAATATCGACTGTTAACAATGTCAGCTTTCACTTATTTGCATGAAGCCGGTTTTCATTGTCTTTTGAATAGTGACATTTCCATGGTATGTTTAACATGGTTGCTTCTTTGATAGGATGCACCAAGGAAGGCTGATCTGGTGTTTGTGGTCAGAGAGTGTGAGAACGGGTACATGGCTAGAAGCAAGTTTACGAACGGGTGGAAAGATTCAAATGAGGGCGGACGAGTCTGGTCGACCATCGGCTATAACATGAATTCAAGTTACGTTACAGACCGATCAGAGTATCTGGGTAACCAAAGAATCATTATTGATTAAATTTCACCTGTAATGAGTATCTGTTGCAAAGAAGTGGTTTTAATTGTGATTTAAAGTCCAACCGGAATTGAGAAACGTGTGATCATTGGTCCAAATTAACTGAAACGCTGACTGTTATGTAGAAAAACTAAATGTGTAGAAATGACCGTGTGATTGTTTTTGACTTAAATACGTCTATATTTTAGGGTCAGTGTCATTCGGCAAAAAGTGAAACGAAAAAGTGTAACTGCATTGTTATGTTATGTTACCTTCATTATATTACATTACTTTACATTACATTCAGCTACCACAGACCCATCTTAAGCATAACTAATTCAAGTTGATTAAGCAATATCTTAAACAAATTTATCTCAATTGTAAAGCATGTATAAAGGAAATATTTAGAATAAAGCCAATATATAAACTTCCTTTCCGTATAGACGTATTTACGTCAAATTCTCCGGAACCATGGTTCCACTGTCAACTTTTTAACGGTTTGTATACAGTAGCCTTTAATTATTTGGTTACAGTTTATCGGAGCGTTCAATTTATCTTATCAAATACGTCCATATGCTTATTTCACAGTAATCTTATTATGACATGTTATAATTATATTAATTTAACGACCTTCGCAAGAGTCGGATCGTTATTGTTTAGCGAATAATAATAATTCAATTCATTTATTAGAGTGCTTGGCAACAGCCAAAAGGGGCTAAT